AGAAAAATGCAAGCGAGTCTGGAACAGTGGTATGCGATAACGTTGTGAGGCTGTGCATATGGCTGGCATTTAACTGCACCTTCTATCAACAGTTTTTAAGCTCTTCTGTCAAATATTAGCACAGTTAGAACTTTATATCTAGTAGGTGGCTCAGGAGGAAACAGGTGATGCAATGCAAGTATGACCAGGAAGTGCATTGGAACTGTAAATATCCTCGCTTTTATTCCATTTGTTCTATGCACCAGACCATGCTGAAACCACAGACTTCAGTGCTTTCATCTTGAGGTGGATTACCTGAACTAGTCAAGTTTCACTTACTTTTGCAGAAAAGCAGCACTTCCATTTGTAGAACTGTGTTGAGGGAGGAACTCCTACAGGCTGGCTTAATGTATTTATATTTAAGAAAACTGTGTTTAAATGTCAGACTGTATGGGTCTTGAGCAAAGTTAAGCAAATAGAAATAATTCTAAAAGGATTGTAGGCAAATTGTTTGCTTTTCAATATTAAGAAATAAGCAGGAATTGCAAAGGACAACACTCCTGGGCAAACTTATTTGCTTTAGTGAGTTGCTGTCCAGAGTAAATACACCTGCCACAAATGATACATTAATATTTGATCATTGTATTTTAATTTAGGTTTGAAATAAAAATATGAGCAGGATATGGCTGAAAGTGCAAGTCTTCTCAAGTATGGTGTTTTGTGTTAAAAATGTACCTGGCCACTAGATGGAGATATTACCACAGAAATCAGATACTTAAGGTTTTGTTTTGTTTTTATACTGCAGATGCAATTCTTTAGCTCTAATATCATCAGAATGTTGACAATAGCAGTTGGTGATTGCTGATCTTTGTTTAATTTTTGAATGACAATGTAGTATTAAATGCAAGCTATTGAAGAATTCTAGAGTGTGGGAAGAGCTTGCTTGATCAGGTTGAAGATTCTACATCCTTTTTCCTACAGTAGTGAGCCAATAACTACTGGGAAGTCCCCTGGAAGGAGGTGAAGGCAGTAGCCCCACTCCTAGCAATTGCCTTTCAATCTGGAGTTTCCATGGAACTTTCATATTCAATCACTGTTGAATAGATCTATCTTTCATGGCTTTCTCTATTGGCCCTTTTGAAGTCAACTCAGCCAGTGGCTGTCACAATATTATGTGAATTTTGTCCATGTTGTATGAAAATGTTTTTCCTCATGCCTGCCCTGGTGCTAAATGAATAATTTTGAATATATTTCACTGTAGGTAAAAGAAGGCATTTTCCTTCCTTTTCCCATTTCAGTCACTAATTTCCTTTTTTAGTTTTTTCTATGGCCCCTATAAATGTTTACTGCAGAGCAATTGGAGACATGTATCTCACTGTTGCTTTTCTCTAGGCTTTTGATGTGAAGGAATGCTGGAAATGAAATTTTCTTATTTGGGAATTTGAAGTTGGTAAAGAATGTAATTCTATAAATAGAAGCAATATGACACATTAGCAGGTATATGTTAGCTACTTCAATGTGCAAAACAGCTTCCTCCCTATTCTCTAGCAAATTCATATGCATAATATTTTCAAGCACAAAGATACCTTTGGATTCTGTAAAACACTGGTGATAGAAATACTGCTTACAATATTAGCAAGTATTGTTCCGCATCTTTTCACTTCACCATGGCAGTAGCAGTTGTAGATCATGCGACTGCTTTGTCTCGCTTTTATTTCTTGCATTGTGCTGGTACAGGGAGGAGTAGCATGAAGGGCAAAGAGATTTAGCTGGATAAAAGCTGGTTCTGTCAGGCAGAAGGTTACTCAAATAAGGTGAAAGAGCTATTCTGTTGATGAGGCTATTGAGTATCCTAGGGAAATGCTGCCTTGGGCCACAGGAGGGTACTGTAGAGTTCAAGGTTTTTCTCCTACCTCTCTCTCTCAGCTGCTGTGGTAGAAAGGAAAGGTCATAACTTGACAATGGTTTAGGGCATGGTGATGATGTGTGAGGAATGTTTTTCCTTGGGCAAAATGCTTTCAGTATTAATTGCTTGCTTTTAGCCCCTGGCTTGCTAGTAGAAGGAAAAAAGTGAGGTGCTTGTTTAGTCAGGGAACCAATGAGCCTACCCAGTCCAGTTTCCACTGGAGAGAGAGGTGTTCATAGCACGTACAGTAGTTGAGGACTAACCCCATCTTGAAGGGCATATGTTAGAGGTAGGTTATATTTTGCAGAAATTATTGGTGGTTACAAATTACTCATATAACTTTCATTGCCTATTTTTTTGCTCTGTTTTCTAGGTGTTCACTGTACACATGGTTTCAATCGTACTGGTTTTCTCATCTGTGCCTTTCTCGTTGAGAAATTGGACTGGAGGTAATTTTATTAAAAAAACAACAATTTGCTTGTTGGGTGTACATTAATGACTATAATTATTGCATTGTTTTGTAGTAAGCTAGATGCATTTCATTATGGCATAATCTAATTTTTAAGTGCCCTGCTGTTTTAGTATGTAGCTTGCATCAAAGCTGATTGTAATATATGATTCTATTTGGCATAGTTCTATCAATTTTTCATTAACTTTTTAAATTTATGTGGCAAAATAATATTGCTGAAAATTAGTTGATGGACTATATTATTGCCTGATAGGAAACATAACTCATGAAAACTACTTATTTTTCTAGCGCAGGAGCTTCTTTGTAATTAGGGAATGACATGATTATAACTCTCTACTGTTAGTAGATTGAATGCTACATGTAGACCAGCGAGTACTCGGAGGAGGGCTTTCTCTGCGGTGGTGCCCATTCTGTGGAATGCGCTCCCCAGAGAGGTCCGCCTGGCGCCACCGTCATTTGTTTTTCGGTGCCAGGCGAAGACCTTTTTATTCAAATGTCATTTTAATTGTTAATAGTATTTATTTTATTCTTTGGCCAGGGCGACTTAATTTATACTGTTAATTTATATTATTCTATGGAAGTTTATTCATGGATGTGAGCCGCCCTGAGGCTTCGGCGAATGGGGCAGCATGGAAGTCTCCCGAATGAATGAATGAATGAATGAATGTAGACCAGCTTCTATCTCTAAAGTTTGTGATCTTGTACACAATTACCTGGAAGTAGTATCCATTTACCTCAGTGTTGCTTATTTCTGAGCTGACAAAAATAGGATTGTGTTGCAAGTGAGTGCAATCTTTTGTCTTTGTATGGCATAAAAGGAAAGACTTTTGAGGGTATAGTACTGGCACTGGCATGCAGTGTCCATCCAGTAAGACATTTAAAAGAATCCTCTTGGGTTAGGCATGTGACTTTAGTGGCCAGTTAATCTTGTTTGGGCACATGATAAGTTACAAAGCAATAGTATGCACTGCCTGTTTACCAATTAGTGTAAGATTATTATGACTTACGAGATTTTTTTTAATACCATGGTTAAGGAACCTGAAATTAACAAGTAATGACACTATTTCAAGAAGAGATCAGGTGAGAGTAGAAAGTTTTCAGAGGAGATCACTGGACTTATTAAGTAATGCAGAAAAGCTATTTTTTAAATATGACTACTTCTTTTCATGTTCTCTGCTGGCCCCTTTCCACAAGTTATTTGGGTTAAAGGGCATACCAGCACTATTTTACTTGTGCAGTGTTTGGTTCAGGCTGCACATGACTGTTTTTTGGGGAGTGGGGGGCATTTTTAATCTAGAATCTGTGGGAGTGAAGTGTTTGTGACTGCCATGAAATTGCCAGCTGTTGTCCTTAATTTGGAAGTAAACTGTGAGATGCCCTTCCTCTCAGACAGAAGGTGGGAAACTCATCCTCTGCATCCAATGGGACAGGCTACTTGGCAGATGTAAATCTGCAACTTTGGATCCTACACATGCAGATGCTGTTTTTTTAGTTTGTACATCTTGCTGAACTAAATTATCCCTACGTTATGATAGTTGCTCAGCTATTAAGTACTCAAAATAAGTTAAGAGCCTGCTATTGCTTTTCCTTTTTTCTTCAGTAAAAGGTTCCAGTAACAATCATGCTTTATATATGTCTAACTTTACTATTCCAGCTGTCTTGTTTAGCCATTGGGTATGTTTGTTATGCTACTGAAGAAATTCTTCTGTTTATCAGAAAACTGTTTTCCTGTATTTGTCATTATATGCTATACATGCATTATTTATGCCCTGCCAGATTTTTAATGGGGCACATTATTGGTCTTCCCTGTTGAATATAAGCATAAAATGCTAAACAGTACCATGTCTTTTGTAACTGCCCACTTCTTTCAACTCCTTCCCCCTGAAAAACAGGATGCACAATTACTTTATTTCATAAAGGAGCTTCCCCAACTATATGTTAGGTTTTATTGAGAAGAAATGTCTTACATGAGAATATTAAACAGCAAGTATAATTTCAGTTTTCAATTCATGCTATGATTTTTCTTACCACAGATTTCTCATACTGATGTATTCAGAAAGGCTCACATGGCATCTTTCCTGTGCTTGTACAGGTTACTTTGCAGGTTATGCAGTCATAGGGCCTCAGCAAATAGGCCCTCATGCCTCCGTGCTTCTTGCACCATGCCTGCTACTTGCAGGGAAGAGACTTGGTGATTCCAGGTTCAGTAGGAAATGAGCAAAAATGTTCATTGTTCTGGAACAGGGCAGGTTGGCAGCGATTGCATAAATATGAACGCTCTGTTGTGCATTCTGCTCGGGCAATACAATTGTCAGGACCTTGTGCTTGTGCAACAAGCTGCAGAATACACAAGAACTGGCAGAGGGGCAAGTGTCCTGTTGGATGCTGCCAAGATGGTTCTTCTGAGTTTGATTTCACCTGGATGGAAAATGCTGGTGTCTATAAATTCCATGTGTGATACTATCAAATGATGTACCATCCTTGCTATTTTAGTTCTTAATGAAATTACATTGAGGGCAGTCCTTTGTACTCTTGAGTATCATGAAGTTTGCTAACCTGTTCTCAACCCATTTTCTGTGTTTTACTTGGTATTGATGAAGTTTTCAATCTTTTCTTGTCTTGCCTAACCCAGTTGCTTTACCATACTGATGCTCAGCCCCAGATTTTGTTTTGATCAAACAAAGTAATCTTGAATTCATGTGATAATTAGACTTAAATGAGTTTACATATTGTAATGTGGCAGATAAGGATGCATTAACTCTGTTACCTCATGGCTGTTTGATAGCATGGTGGTTTTGTAGGTTGCATTACATTAAGTTTGCTTGTTGCTAAGTAATTTTGTGTGTGTAAAGCATTTTAAAGCCACGTATTTTGCTGAAATAGCATTCAAAAGATTGCATTATTCATCTGTTTTCTTCCAGTTTAGTTGCGTATAATGGTGTTTGGCCCCAATTAGATATGATAAGACCATTAGTATTTAGGTCATATTTTTTCCCCTTTAAGCTGGGAAACAATATATGCAAATATGCCCATTCCAAAATATATTAACGCATGTAAGTACAAACAATGTAGCTTATCTTTATAGTGAGTATGGTTTAAAATGACACATGCACCCACCCTACAAATATCTGACCATCTTTACTATTCTTCTCTCAGTAAATTCATATTGTCGTTATGGTATTCACATATTCTGTGTCCTCAAAAATAACAAACTGTTGTGGCAACTTAAATTCACTCAGTCAGATGTATAAAGGATTATCCAGATTAGTAGACATATATACATATGACTTTCTTCGTATATGCAAAGGACTGAGGTTAGGGGGAATTAAATGGAAAGTAATGGCTAGTCCTGAAATAGCAGACTATTCCTATGGAGAGTTTTGGAGGAACATACATATGTGTGTGTTGTTGAGAAAGGTCTTCTCAGATTGTTAGATAGCTTTCTTCCAGCAAATGGCTAATTGTAGTAATTAAACTTGTTAATCTCTGTCACTTTCTGTAAAGCAAAGCCATTGTTTGATGATGCAGTAGGTTTCAACTACAGTGCACTAAAAATAGGAGAGAAAATCTATTGAGAGAATTTCCTTAAAGTGGCAACTCCATAGATTGGGTGCATAATCTTTACAAAAATTCTGTTTGCTACGTTTTTCTTTCAAGCTATGCACATTATTTACTGGAAAAAAATGTGTCTTTGTAGCATAGTCTAACTATATCTCTTAAGCACACGAAGTAAGAAAACTGTAGAGGCATAGTGAATGCTGAGATGAATTTTGCAGCCAGTTTAAGGAAAGATTGTCAGATGGAGAATCCTGCACTTAATTTCCAGAGGTGTGATTACATGTTTTCTGTGAGTAGCCAGCTTGCAGCCCCCCAAAACAATTGCACTTCATGGAAATGCAAGACTCCTTCTTAACGTGAGACAGCACTTCTGGAAAAGAACTCAAACATGTATTAGCAATTTTCTCTTTGTTCTTCATTTTCAGGGACAATGTACCTTGTATTTAACCTTAGAAACCATTGCATGTTGCTTGTGTTTTTTGTTCTGTTCACTGGTTTTCTGTTTCTTTAGCACTTCAATAAGCCACTTGAAAAAAATGCTTTCTGAAGGTACAGCCCTATGGGGGTATCTAAGCTTCCTAGATTATTGATTTTCAGCTGCTGGGCCATGGACTGGCACTAGTCTGCTGGCATTTCCTGCTGGTCCATGAAAGAGCCGCTGTCGTGTGCGCCCATGACAGTGGCATCTCGCTGGCCAGGACCAGCTTGGGGCTTGCTGTGGTCTTACTGCTGATTTCCCCGCCTCTTCCTCAGTTGAAGAGGCTGGGGAGGGGAGAGACAGTTCAGTAGGAGCCAGCTGGGAGCCACGCCACACTGGGTCTGCCCTCTGGGTGGGACCCTGAAGACTGGCCCTTTGCCTTTCTTTGTTTTCTACTGGGAAGGGAAATGCTGAGGCAGGATTGTGCTGAGAGTGTTTTCTCAGCCAGTCTGTGCCAGTGTGTATGGGGGATTGAGTGGGTATGGTTCATTGTATTATATTATTTAACATTATGAATATTATTGTATTAAGTAACTTTGATTTTGTATCACTCTGCTGTTAATACTGCATTTGGATTTGTATTTGCTATGAGCATAGTATTGCATTTATATTGGTTTTGCATTTTGCTATTTGAAATTTTTGATCAAGTATTCTTGAAAAGAGGCTACAGCAGATTTTGCAGTAGCCTTGTCTGAATTACATTTTGCTCTCTAAAAATTTCAGTTGTATTCAGTTATGTTTTATTCTTTTATTAACATTTTTTACTGCTCAGTTTCAGGTTATTTGTGAGAATTTTCATTTTTGGTAATATATTTAAAAATGAATAAACAAAATACTATATTATCTTTATAATGTTTTTTTTAATTTCTGTCTCAGCAGTCCTCAAAATAATTTTCCTATTTTTGCTGGTCTCCAGCTGTAAAAAGGTTGAAAACCTCTCCCCTAGATCATCAGTGAGGCTATGCCTAAGCGCTTTGAAGATTAACAAGGTGTTGCTTGGGCCATGGGATGTGGGCACTGAGGTTGCTATTCTGTAGTACAGATGTATGGATTTTGTTAAATCTGTTTGGTTTGTATTTTGCAGTTATCATAAATTTTAGTTCCATCATCTGTACATTGATAGAATACGTCTTTAACCAGAATTCAATTCTACTTGTGCTAATTCAGTATTGCTAATGCACATTTCTGGAAGCATGCTAATTTGTATTAGTTATTGTACATAATGCTAATTTGTATGAACTGCTAGAGGTTAGAGCCTTGGTGCCATTATCCTGCACTTTCACAGATTCCCCTGCCTAAGTGAAAAACTGGTCTGCAAGTCCATGGAATCTGTGTGACCTTGTAACAGCTGACTCCAGGCTGCAGACTCCACAAACTGGATTCATAGAAATCCAAATTTCACCAACATGCCTGTCCAGCAGGGCAGCAGCTGAATAGGTTCATAGTTGGTAATAGCTACAGTCTCTGCTCGTCGCGAACTGTTCAGCATTCCTAGGGAGAGTCCTGGATGCCTAGGCTTGAATACAGCTTATTGGAATGGCTTGGCAGCTTTGAGAATGAAATGGGTTGGCACCTACCTGATTTTTGGTTAGGTGCAATTAGGAACATTTGTAGCAGGGCTGTTATTTTGCACATGGCATATGGTCTTGGGTCTTCTGAGCTCTTTCTGAATAATTACTTGCATATTTACAATTTACTCATGCAACTTGTACTTTGTTGCAGTATTGAAGCCGCGGTGGCTACTTTTGCCCAGGCCAGGCCACCTGGCATCTACAAAGGTGATTACTTGAAAGAGCTCTTCCGTCGTTATGGTGATGCAGAGGATGCACCAGTACCTCCTCCATTACCAGAGTGGTGTTTTGATGAAGAGGAGGATAACTGCAGTCCAGGAACCCTGGAATTGAAAGCTGGCTCATCAACTTCATTTTCTGGCAAAAGAAGGAAAGAACACTTGAAACTGGTAATGATGTCCAGAAAGAGTTTAGTTGGTTCTTAAATGTTTAACTAAATTATTCTTTTGCTCTTAACATTGTTATGGTAATTAGAACTTGATAGATTTATTTGGAGTTTCATAGAATTAGCAACTTGTTTTCATTACATTTTCTACATTGCAACTGCAGAATTGCTGCTGTAATGTAAATGGTAAATAGATTCTGCACAGAGTGTGCCCAGGATGAGTACAGGAGAATTTGTGCACAAGGCATTTATGTCATAGATATCAAAGTTTGACACTCATTCTCTTTTGTTAAGCTGCTTCTAAATTGGTGAGGGAGGTGGGATGAGATTGCCTGTTGATGGGGGGCGGGGAGAAGCCAAATAGTTTGACATATCAAGCCTAGTTTAAGGCTAGCTAAATCAAAGATGCACAGAAAACAGATTTCCAGACGTTTTGGATTTAGCTCCTAGCATTTCGGTCCAGTGGCAATGAGTGCTGACAGGGATATCAGCAAGCTGGAAGACCAAAAGATTTGGATATTTGCCTTCTGCCTCTCTAATCTAAATAGCTGGTTGGATTCCACCAATAGCATCTTGGATGACAGTCTTTCTTGATGGCATTGGGTAAGGGGCCCATGGTGGGAAGGGGTGGAGGTACATGAGATGGGTTATTAGAATTTGAAAGGATCTTAGGCTTCCCCACAAACCCTACTTCCTGACTCTAGTGGGTACTTGGTAAAGCTGGCAGGGAGAGTAATGTTCACTATAATCTGATATCAGTGATAACAGTGGGGATTTTCCTGACTTACTGTGCCACTGGGCGTCGCAATTAGAAGGGGTGCAGTGTGGCAACTGCTTTGCACACGCTGTACCTTCTTCATTGGCAGAAGATGTAGAGTGGCAGGATTTCCCCTGGCTAGAGGAAGCATACACACATTGAACATTGATCTCTGGCCAAGGTGTTGACTAAAGGAGTGCCATTTGGTGGTGAGGCATTGTGGGAAAGGTTCATGGGGTGCTTTGGCTTCTGAACTCAAATAAGTTTGACAGTCATGAACTGGAGAACCTGGATACCTTTCAGCTAGCTGTTAAATTGAAATTCTGACTGTTTCTCAAATTGGTATACAAATTATACAGAACCCTTTCTGCATCAGAGGACTTGCTGAGCAGTAATACAAACATTTTAAAATAAATACATTTTGGTGTTGAATTGTTCAACCCCATAATTTTGTTTTGTGATAGAATGTGACTGCAGCAAAAATACCTTGCTTTTGCATTTTATCAGTTCAGATTTCACATCCTATATGTTATCTACTTGTAACTAACAGCACGTTAGGAAATATTGGTTAGGTTTACATTCTTAAGCATCTGGCTTTCTGCCATAAACTTAATCGAATTTGTTCTTCCTTGAACTTCCACTTAAAATTACAGCATATACAAATGTATGTAAATACTAACGAAACACTGTTCAGTGTCAAATCTTGATAGACATGAGGGCTTTTCAGTTCTCTTGTGCCTGAAGTGTATCAGAAGGCAAGTGGTGAGGATAGTGTGTATCCCTCCCTGCACATGGGGAGCCAGTGAGTTAAGTAGAAAGGTAGACTGGAACCCTTCTCTCAGGTGCATTGTCTTTCTAAATGCATTTTGAAGAGGGTATTCAAACACGCAGTCCATCCCTTCCGAAGCAGTATACTCACAGGAGGACCTTACTCTGCACTTTTCTGTATGTGTAGGTTGGCTCTAAGAGGAACCTTTAAGTTTTTCCTTATCATTAGCAACTGAACTGGGGCATAAGCTAGGCAGTATAAGAATTTTCCCTCATCTGAATTCAAATCATATTTAATCCTGCTATTTCCAACTGTTTCCAAAGGCTCAATACTAGTAAATGTTTAATCCTTATAGTAATCCTGCATGAAAAGATAGATGGAACTGCCACTGATGACAAGGAAAATGTGTGAGTAATTGTATCCCCAGCAAGGATTTGGCTGCATTATTTTTATATCCTGCCTTCTTCTCTGGGCTCAGGGCTTTCTGCAGCCATTTCATCAGTATCTGTCTCTCTTGTCAAATAACTTGGGATTTTAAGTATTATGTTTAAAGGTTGACTTAATGAAATAAAGGAGGGGAAAATAAAAACAAGAGGTTGCCAGTCTCTAACATTTATCCTTGTTCTGTTTCTGCCAAAATGTAGTTCCCTCTTTCTCATTTTCCATGCTGTTCTTGTTCTATTCATTCTGGTCCCAATCTTAGACTGTGAACCACTGAACACAGCTGAAAGGAAAAGTACATCTCTAGGACTATCCCCAGGCCCATTTGTGTTTAAAGGTATACCTGGACTTTAAATAAGCCCTGTAAGGGACTGACCTAGTCCCAACACAAGCAGGTGCAGATGGTGTTGATGACAGTTTGCTTTACTTTCTGGTTACTCTCTCCTAGTCACGTGTCAGCTGGTGCTGAACAGCTGCTATGAGAGCAGGGGGTAGCTGCCCATACTACCAAAGGAGCTTTTGAAACTCTGGAGTTTGGAAGTAGATTATCACTCTGTTTTTGAGAAGTTAAAAGGTTCACTGGTGTGGGACAAAATCACAAAGCTTCTCCTAGGGATGGATTCTGGTTTGTGGCAATAGTTCTTTCATTCCTCACCTCAGCTTGCATCTTAACACTTTGCCACCAACAAATTAGATGACACCTTCCTTTATTCAAAGTAGATTATATTCTGATTTGTTAATGCCAAAGCACAGCACAGAAGCTGATGCTGCTGTATGACTTTTCCTCATTTTATCACCTAGTCGTTTAAAAAACCATAAAACAAGTTGTGCAAATAAGCATATTAATAATTAAAGTGGAGTTCAGAGATGAATTTGAAGGAGCAAAATGATTTGGTTACTATCCATATTCATATCATTCCATTTTAGAGCTTTGGGTGCACTCTTTGCCATATATAGAGAGGAATTTTATTGCATGTTTGGTGGACAGTTGCTGTTAATTGAGTAGAGAAGGATACAACCTGTATCTGACTGGAGTTTAGGAATGCAGAGCCATAAGGAAAGTGTTTGGGAAATTTTTAGGGTGTGTGGTTTAGTATACTGAAAAAGGTGCTTTTAACCTAAATGTCTTACTAAATTAATATTCTTGGTACATTTTGAACTCCAGAAGTAAAACTTAGTAGATACTTATTTAAAACATTTCAGAACATCATAATACCTCTCATAAAATCACCCACATATAACTGATAGGTTCAGGGAGTTATTACCACTGCTTCTAGCTTATCTAGTCTTCTGGCATGAACCAAGATGGGTGGTTTTGGTTTAGTGCACTGTTGCACATGATCAGACCTCAGCGTTCTTAATACACAATAACAAAGCTGCTTCACTGACAGGCACTTGACTCCTGGAAAGACCATGTATTTGAAATCTGATTTCAAGATGTGCATCCCTGGAGGGTATTGGAAAACATATTAGACTTTACTTGCACAGACATTCTTTTGCTTATCAGAGTGACAACTAAGAAACACATTAGTCTAATTGACATCTCATAAGTTTATTTTTAAGCTTAAGCCGGTACTATCTAGCTGAGTTTGCAGATGTATAGATAAGAAAAGGGACTGTGACTTTTGGATAGAAAGGATTTTCTCTGTTTTTAATTTTGTGCTGTAAACAGCTTCATAAGATAGGTTTGGCAGAATAAACAACAACTACATTCTGAGCAAAGTCATTTGAGACATGATGTGCTTGCTGAGCAGTTTAAGAAGGAAAATCAATTTTAGATATCATCCAGGTCCTGTACTGACTCTCTCAAAACGGATTTACTGTGATTTAGAGGAGAAACATAAAAGAGAAAAATGGGATATCTTACATGCTCTTTTGATGTGTTTCTATACATCATACATAGTCACTTTTTCCTAAGAGGAGTGTTTAATAGAACTGGATTATTTATTGTGAAGCCAGTCATGCCTCCATTTCTCTTCTCTCCAGATTGTAGTGGTTAGGGTGTTGAACTAGAACTGGGAAGATCTGAACCCAGGTCTGCACTTGGTCATGAGTAACTTGGGTATCTTTTGGCATATCATTGATTCTTATTTTATTATTGATTCTTATTTTATTGATTCTTATTCTTATTTAAAATTTTTTAACCTATCTCACAAGGTTGTTGTGAAGATAAAATGGAAAGGAGAAGAATCATTAAAGTTTAAATTCTTCATATAAGCAGAGGCTTCTGTTTCAGCTTTGATAGAAGGTTACTTAGATCCCATGTTATCTGTGGAATCTCCATAAAAGAACTATATTTCAAAGGATTGTTCTGGTTTTGGAACCAGAAGAAAGGGGCCCACTCATGACAGGTGGTGAGAAGAAAATGAAATACTTCCCATGGTGTGCTATCCTGGGCTCCTAGGAAGGAGAGCACAGTCACATTTTACAAATAAAAAAAGCTAGCTCAAAGCTACCTAGTTGGCATCCTGTTTGTGCTCAAGGAGCCAAATATGGAAAGAATGGCACTGTCAATATATGTTGGTTGATTGTTGTCCGATCATCAGTTGACACATAGAAACAGAGCGAGTCAGAAGGGGTCTCCTGGGCCATCTAGTCTGACCTCCGGCACTAGCCAGCCCCGCTCATGACATGCCCACCGTGTGCATGTCCAGCCTATCGTTGAACACCTTCACTGATGGGGCCTCAACAACCTCTTGTGGAAGCCCATTCCACACCCTCAGGGTCCTAACTGTCAGGAAGTGCTTCCTGGCATCCAAATTGAACCGACACATTGAAATACATAGTACACATATTTAAGTACAAATGCTACTTTTTAATGTTGGATAGCGTATAGGGTTTGTCAAATACAGCAAATATTTTCTTCTATGGAAATCACAGTAATTCATCTGATTCTGGAGATAGTCACAGTCTATTCAGTACTGCTACTTCATAGTCTTCTATGGTGATGGTGGAGGATGCCACAATCATGGCAACCTCCGGGAGTCATGAAGCACAGTTGTTCTGAATTGTGTGATGGGTGGGGTGGGTGGTTTGTTGGGTGAAGTGTGGGATCCCTCACTGACGTGGTTTGCAGGCATTCTAATATCACCTCTACTCCTGGTATATGCAATGCAGATGTATTTTTGGCAGCTGCTTGTCTTACAATAAATGCTTTTCAGTTTGTGCAACCTTAGGATGTAGATGGAATCTGTGAGCCAGGCCACTTAAGTGCTTGACCTTTAAGCCAGCTAGAACTGGGCTGGCTGATTGGGTAAAATATTTGTGAAACACTTCCTTGACTGATGGATGAAGCCAAATACTACTTTGCAAAGTTTAGGCTAGAGTGCAAAGGCAGTTTGGTCATGATTGCATCTGCCTTGGTTACATAAAGTAAATATGCTCTATATGTAGTAGCATTTGAAAAGTACCCCTGTGTTGTTTTTTGCAGTGAGCATGGAACTTTTGAACTGGCATGCACATTCATTCCTCCTGCATTTTCAACAACCCACAGTTAATCCATGGGTTGTTGATGACATGGAAACTTGGTCAAAGTGTAGAATTTATTCTTTACCTCCAACTTTGATCTCATAATTCATTGGACCATGTTCCTCCGGTCCAATGGTCCTTTACCTGGCCATTCCACTCCTAGTCATATGTCTTGTATGAGTGTTTTTTGAGCTTTCCAATTCTTTTTGGCATGTTCCTTTCCACCAGACTGTTTGTTCCTTCACTTTGTATGCAGGGCTCCCCTGCCCACAAGGATGTTTCTGTTAAATTCTGCGGAGACAGAAACTGCACTCAGACCTTTTGTACATGCTTAGAATGGCTTGCTCTGTTCAAGTCCATATAAGAACACTGTGGGGTTTTTCACAGTGATCAGTCAGATGCCTATGGGAAGTACATGGGGTAAATAGGCCGCCTTCACTGTTACTCTTCAGTGACTGGTATTCAGAGGCACATCGCCTGTGATTGTATTAGCCATTTCTAGTTTTATGCCTCCATCTTGGGCCAATTAGATATTAAGATACATGACTATTAGATTCTGATTAAATTATCTAAGCTGGTAAAAGTGACACCAAAATACACCAATATAAGAGAGATGCTAGTTTAAAAGTAAATTAAGCTCATTTTTCTCTCTTGCCGTTCTTACTGTTGAAATCTGGATAGTCAGGTTAGATTTTCAAATGGTTTGTTATTGCATTCTAACACTGTTGTATTGTGTGCTTATTTTTAGGGTGCAGTGTTCTTGGAAGGCATATCGGTTAAAAATGTAACCCAGGTAACAACTCAACCAAAGCTAGGAGAAGTGCAACAGAAATGCCAGCAGTTTTGTGGCTGGAAAGGGTATGGGAACAAATATTTTTAAAATGTTAGTATAATCTAGAATTAGAGGCATGTGTTGCTTCAGAGAGAGTATTACTTCTCTTAGCAGGCTTCATTAGATAAGACGCTGTAAAACATTTGTTTCATTTTGAATTAAACATGTTCATTACAATATGAAAAATAAAATGACATGGTATCAGAAATTTTCATCTGAACTTGCACAAGTTGAAAGTGTGTGGAGAAACCTAATCTATTGATACAAGTAGTGATAATACTGCAGTAATGCTTCTTTTCTTAGAAGTAAATCTCAGGTTCAATGGGCATATACCCTGTTGAGTGCATTTAGGATTGCAACAAGTTATACAAATTATAAAATTTCCTGCCTAACTGGATATTTTACAGGTAATGCAGATGTTGTATGAATATTTTGTCTGAAAACAGCTTTATATATGCTTCGTAACCTCATTTTGAGGAATGTTGTCCATGGGGTCGCGATGGGTCGGACACGACTTCGTGACTAACAACAACAACAACCTCATTTTCTCACCAATAGCAAAACACTTACTGCTTCCACAAGTTGTTCAGCAAAGTTTGTGGGGTTCATAACATAATGTAATTTTATAACACCTCATTTTCCTTAATTGTACATATTCCTCTTCAGAAAGGCTGATATGTCTTTTATGATTCATTCCACATGCAAACACAATTTGCTTTTAACATAATCTTTTTGAACTCATACTATTCAGTTCAGTGTTTCTCTACTAAGTTAGATTCAGTACTGTATTCTTGGGTGGCACTTGGCTATTGCTAGTTTAATTATATCTATCAAAAGTACTAGTCAGAAAGTAGCACTTAGTCTAAAATACTTTTGACAAATGAAATAAGATAACATGTGAGCCTCCTCTGCAGGCTTATTAAGACAATTGTCAGTGCATCCCTCTACACTGGTGTTCGTTAGGCATTGCCTAATTTCACTTGGAGTGATGATGGCAAACCTTAAAATCACCAAGATGTAAGTCTTTGATTTTGTAGTTCCAGATGTACAGTGCTCACAAAGGAACACACCGCTAGTGATTTCACAGCATATATTAAATTATATAGCAAGAGCAACTTGCAATTAAGAAACCATATGAAAGTCTAGCAGAAAGTATGTGGGTTGCAATTTTCCCCCATTTAACGACAGTTTGAAAACATTTTGTAAGTATTTACAGCTTCTTTTGGAAGACATTTCTGCTTGAAAGTTACTGTTGCAGGAAAACCAGTTGCTAAAAATGGGCTCAAGAAAGGAGATTGTTGGTGCCTGATACTAATAACAATCTTTTTCCCTGCCTTGTAGGTCTGGATTCCCTGGAGCACAACCTGTTTCTATGGATGAACAGAATATTAAACTGTTAGAGCAGAAACCATACAAAGTAAGCTGGAAAGCAGATGGAACTCGGTAAGTTGAAGTTTCTTTATAAAGTTTCTTTTTTTCCCTTTATTCTAATGTATATATTTTAATTTTTATTTATGTGAATCTAATTTATTGTTGTAAGCTGCCCCGAGGCTTCGGCGAATGGGGCGGCATAAAAATGTTATAATAAATAAATAAATAAATTAGAAATACACTACAGAAGCTCAAAATGAGAAGCATAAATTGTGCTGAAAATTGTTCTGACACATCAGCTCTTTGGTATGCAACATGCTCTGACCTTGTGAATGTAATGGGATGATCTGACTTGGTGTCCTGCAACAGTAGGGGGTTGAACCTGATAGCCTTCATGGCCCCTTCCAGCTCTACTATTCTGTGATTCTATGAGTCTATGAATGTGTGGATTTTCTGCTACACAGCTTTATATTGAGTGAATTAGTTCATGATACTATTGCTAAAATTGTTCAGCTAGCTCATTATATAGTAAAGCCAACACATCTTCTTGTAGTATTGCTAGTTTGGCCCTCCCTTTCTTGCTCTTAGACTGTAAGGCAGATCATGTTGGCACTTTGCAGCCACAAGACAAAGCTGATGCCCTTTAGTAATTTTGGAAGCTTGGCTCATGTCAAGAAAGTTGAACCTAAGCTGGGAACTTTTCCCCAAGATCCTTCCCTTTCAGTAACTCTGTGGGCTCCACTGTCAGAGTTGCTCCTGTTTGTGAATGTTTCACCAATTTATTGGTGGATCCTAATAAATTTATCACTGTACTTTGGTCTGATGGAATAAAAAAAGCTGCAAATTTATTATGCAGGTTTATTTCTTGCCCTTTTCATTGCAAAATCATTAGCTGAATTAACTTTACAAACAACTCGCTGATTAGAACATTGGTGGTTCTGCTTTAATGGGTTGGATTGAATTGCGTACAGGATCTGGATACATACAGAGAAATAAGTTTCCTCAAATATTCTAAACCATGAGCTGTAATCTAGCCTCATTTTTCCTCTCTTGGTAATGAGGCTGCAGCCTGGGATGAGCCCTGCTGGATCTTCAGGCTCTGATAAAGCGTACCCTTCCCACTTACCCGTGACTGTATCCTGAAAATACGTACAAGCACATTGGAATCACACTGTGCTTGCATATTTGTGTTGTAATTTATCGGTGTATGCCCTCTTATTTTCTGCCTTGGAGTTTGGAGGGAAGAAGATGCTCCGAGAGACTTTCAGCATCTGTACAATCCAGCTTTTAAACCTTTGCCACTAAATGTTCCATGAAATGAATCATATCATGAATTTGCTGAAATCAGTTTTTACTAAGCTGCTGCTGTGTCTGAAATATGCTAATATATTCATGAGAAAGATCTAAAAAGCAAACTAATTTTTTCTATTACAAAAATTATTCTTGTAGCCCTAATATGGGATATAATACTATATATCAGGAATAGCTGAGGGAAGTATGGTTTTACAAATGTATCCAATTTGGAAAGAACTAAGTTATCAAAACTGAAATTGTATGAAGAAGATAATTATCACAATATGGTGAGGCAGGTTCTCTGCTTGCTGCTGCAATTGGCTTTTTAAATGAAAAGCTTAATTAGCCCAGGTGGTTAGTGGCTTCCCTCAATCCCTAGATACGTATCTCATTAATAATGTTTGTAGCAGATGTTTGTTGTAATGAGTAGAGTTGACTGTTTAGACTGGAATAGTGTGAGAAAAGTAATGAGGCACCTATCTTTGGGAGAATAAAACTATTGACAATGTTTTAAAGTGTTTTAAGTTGTTTCTGAAATAAATGGTGATAGTGAAAAGGCAATCCTATATTTTATGTTTAGAAATGTGCAAACTGACCAAAAACTATTAAGTGTTGTCAACTCCTTAGGCAAATATGATCATTTTCCTTTTGAAATGGTTGTAATTTTCTGAAATTATGGAGGTAAAGACAGTTTGTTTAGCCTGAGGGAATTGTTTTCAAAAAGGCAATTCCATATAAAAGAAACTGTTCTGGAAAATGGCTAGTGTATTTTAATGAAATATGCATACTAGTTACCCTGTAACGGAATTATTCCAACTCTGTTCTAAAATGAACATGCAAGCTCATTCTGTCCTTCTGGGCAAGTACTGTTGTTAAGTTTGAAACTAGTTAGTGTGTAACTTGTACTTATCCAATTTTGGCAGCATCTGGATCTTCATTTGTTGATAAACTGTTCAGCATAAAATCACATTGCTTGTATACTATTATTGAATGTGCAGACATTTTATAGATTAAGAAGCACAGCGAATGAGGTAGAATTTTCTTACTGGAACAAGATCATAGTTCAAATGAATTAGGTAAAAGAAGCCATTTGTTAGCAGTGCTGTTAATGAAATTGGTTCTTGTGGGTCCATATTTGTTGCCTCATCTCTGAAGCCACAGCATTTTTTTTATTTCTCTAAAAGTTTTCTATGTTGGCTATAATATTTTAAGTTACAGATCAAATCATGTCAGACTTGTGAGATCTTTTTATTTTTCATACCAGAAACTCTTAGTAGTGCAACATTCCAAGTAGTATAAAGTAGAGGTAGGGACTGGGGCAGGGCAGGGTACAGCTGAGTACCCTGAGCCTGTTTAAGATTTATTTATTTATTTTTCAGTTTATATCCTGCCTTTTTCCTGCAAAGGGCTCAAGGTAGCTTACACCATTCTCCTCCTCCATCATCTTATCCCCACAACAACAGCCCTGTGAGGTAGGTTGCGCTGAGAGTCTGTGACTGGCCCAAAGTCACCCAGTTGGCTCCATGGCTAAGTGGGGACTCGAACCCAGATCGTCTGAGTCCCAGTTCCATGCTGTTAACCACTACACCACACTGGCTCTCTGGTTTTCAGCATCAATAGATCTTTTATAGAAAAACCCATTCCCAAGTGTGCATGTCCCTTCCCCCAGTCACGTTTTCTTAGTTTCATCCTAATTTATACTGCAGTCCTAAACTGGAGAGTAAATCCCATTGAACATATTAGGACTTACTTCTAAGTAAAAAATATTAAGTAATGAGCAGCGTAGGCCTTTTGTTGATACTGAATTCAACTGGGAATCAGAAACCCTTGTAATTCTTCCACCAATCAGCCAAAGATCTGTCAGTAGATCCTGATCTACATCTCCCCATCCCTTTAATGAGTGAGGTGGTGAATGCATTTAGCAGAGACAAGGATGTGGCAGTTCAGGGCTTAACAGCAGAGAGACAGACAGTTTTGAGGAATCATTCATTCATTCACTTACTGCATTTGTATGCCACTCCATAGCTCACTGCTGAATCATCATACAGCAACATAAATGATAAAACCATAAGAAGATAAAACTATAAAATCTAAATGCAGCATAAGATCCAATTAATATAGGCACAAAACAGGATAAGAAATGCACAGCGCAACAAAAGCAAGCAGCTGTAATGACATACTAGAAAAAAAAAAACCCAACAACAACTAAAAACCTAGTGTTAAATAAAAATGTATGGTACTTGACAGTACTAGTACTTCTGTAACTATTACACTATCAACATTGATTATAAAACTCTTATAATTTTCAGCATGCTGTACAGAGATTATAAATAAGGCATGATCCCGTAATATACACAATACAAAAGGAAAAAAGGAAAGGCACTGCCATCCTGAGTAAACAGTGATGGGTTTCATGGACTAATGCTCTAATGCTGCTGAACATGTACTGTACCTTTTATTGACTTTGTACCTTTGTGAAAAGGCACAAGGACTGAAGCCTTGAAAATTCCTCCCTTGCAAGGAAAGTGACAACAGAGGAGAAAAAGACGTACAAAAGAAAATTAAAGAGGACAATGAGCAGCAGAAAGCATTGAAAGGAGAAAAGAGGATTGGGGAGTGGGAGTGGGAGGGAAAATACAAAAGGAATAGAAAAATGGGACTGGACGGCTTACCACCGCCACCACCTGCTTACCACTGCTGCAGACGCCGACCTGCCTGCTGACGCCGCCGCTGCCCCGATGGACAGATGGTAGCCACCACGGGACCGGGGACCGAGATGCTGCCAGCCTGCGGGCCCTCCATCTTGCCGGCGAGTTCTCTGTGGGCCCTGCCCTTGCTCCTCCCCCCCCAGCGTGGGTGGCAGCTGTGCCAGATTGGGGGCTGGGCGAAGGGAGGAGCCGCGGGATTAACTTGCCGGGCGCGTCCGAGGCCAGTGGCCTCAGACCGGCAGCCCAAGGGCATCGCCGCCCTTCAGGGCCATGCAGGGGCTGGACTGGCCAGGTACTCTGTGTGTGTTTGTGTGTGTGTGTGTGTGTGTGTGTGTATTTTGTAATTGGGTGGATTGGAGAGTTTTAATAGTATTTTAATTGTATTTATTGGATTGATTTTAATGGCTTCACACTTGGTTGCTACTATGGGGTTACTTGGGGAGCCTGTGGGTGCCACCATTGGGATAGTGTTGGGCAACCATTGATACGGTGTTGGGGATTTAACATGTCGGCATAGAAGGACGAGGGACAGATGGTTGACACCTATTCCCCCTTCTGGTTATTCCCCAACCGGAAGGTTCCGGGTAAGCTTATCAGCCACCCCTCGAAACTGATGGTGCTGCTGCTTAATGCCAGATCGGTCATCCATGACTTAATTGTGGATTAACTGTGCCCGCCTGGGTATCTAGTCCAGCACCAGCCATGTCTGGAGGGGAGGGGGGTCACTTTAATTTATTGAGTTTCTATTTCCCTTGCGGGGCTTCCTTTTCTTTCAAAACCAGGTCTAGAGTGTTTATACCTGGTGTTGGGTGACCGAGACAGATTGGGGATTCTGCTGGTTTACCGTGCATCCTTCTGCCCATCAGATTCCCTGCCTGAGCTGATGGAGATCGTCTCAGACCTGGTGTTGAAGACCCCCAGGATGTTGGTCCTGGGAGACTTCAGTCTCCATGCCAAGACTGTTCTGACCGGGGCGGCTCAGGACTTCATGGCCTTCATGACAGCCATGGGGCTGTCTCAACATGTCTTAGGCCCGACCCATGAACGTGGACACACGCTGGACCTGGTTTT